GGGTGCTGACAGTAACTTCATTTAGCTAAGACAAAGGAACTAATTGTAGATTGGCAGATTTTATTGTAGATTTTATTGTAGTAGATTTTAGAATGAGAAAAAAAAATTACAAGAATGCATTGGAAACATTATTTTGCTGTATAAAGAATACTCTTTAGTACATTTGATAGTCATCGCAAATATATGGTAGTTGTTGTTATTTTTTGTCTTTTTATAAGTTCCCAATGAGAATAAACCCAACTGTTGATTGATTATGATCAACTAAATACACTTTGTTTGAAAATGCTAGCTATTGGCTTAAAAATGTTAGCGCCCAATGCAATAGGTTTTATTTTATTTTCGCTAGACATTAGAAGTAACTTGTGTTTCCAGATCTTAGCAAGGCATATGCAAAATTAATCCTGTTTCATATAATCATGTTTCATTTTTATACACGCTTGATCCTTTCGGGGTCATAAGGTGATTATGCCCATCTCCAGCAGTCAACAAGAGAGACAGGGTTTGGCCTGGACGGATCACCAGTTCATCACAAGGACACACTTATACCATTTGACAATTTAGAATCACCAGTTAACCTACTGTAATAGGCAAGTTTTTGGATTGTGAGAGAAAACAGAGTGTACAAAGAAAACCCATGCATGCACAAGGTGAACATCAACAAACTCTACACAGCCAGGAGTAAAACCAAGGACCTTCTTGCTGTGAGGCAACAGTGCAAACCACCTACACAACCATGCAAGACTGATGGCCCAGAATCATCTTTGTTGTTAATACCCCATGCAGATTATTTTATAAAATAAACCTACTTGTAGCTCTCAAGCTGGCGTGCAGACGACACAGTGAGGAAGCCGTCTGTCCTGGGGTTGTATGCCAGTGGACCAGGCAGCAGGAAACCAGGGAGGAATCTACCAAAGGAGTAGCTATCCTGCTCAAAGAACATCAACATCCCATCCATAGACTGGATGCACAAGGAATGATGACCTGATGGAGAGACAGGACAGCAAGATGGTTCACGATGCGATTAGACCATGACCATAGTCACTTACTAACACGTGTTACTGGTAGTCATTATTTTAGTCACAGGTGATCACTGTTCCAATTTAGAAGAAAGTGCACGTTTTATTTAACTGTGTTTTTATAAACTGTCGCAACAGGAAAGCAGCAGAGGAAGATACTGTCTTTACCGTAGATGTCCGGTTCAAAATGAAACAAAACAACGCCAACAAAGAAAGTGACGGAAGCCTAAAAACCTGCCTGTTTGTTTTAAATGATCAGTGTGAAAAGGTTTCTTGATAATGATCTGCAGCAACAGTGGAGCAGACAAGAGCAACAGGAAGTATGGGTACGGTAAGTAGAGCAGGTATGTCATAAATTGCACATTTTGAAAACTGCTATGCCAAGCCATTTGTGTATTTATTTGACTACCCTGGCATAAAGTCTAATTTTCCCACAATATCACTTACATTTTATATTACTCTATACAGTTAGTTTAATTAAATTTAACAAAAAAAAATTAATTTTTGACACATAATTAATTTTAGCTGATAAAATATATGTGTTTTTCTTTTTGCATTTGCTTCTATGAATTTTTTTAAAAACAAATCCAAGAGAATTTAAAAGAAACAAATGTGTATATAACTCAAACTTATTAATAATAACTTTGAGTCACATATGTTGCTTAATGGAAGCTTTTGTTTTGTTCAAACACAATATATTAAACAACAGGCACCAAAAATGCCATACGACTTTCATGGCTTCTCTTTTATTTCTAACATGCTCTCGTGCTGTGAGGTGCGTTTCCCCTTCTGGCTGAATCTGATATCTCCATTAACACCTCCAATGTGCACACACACAAACATACACCTGAGTATAAATGTGCACATGAATGTGTTTATAATGAAAGGCAGGATGTAGGAATTATAAAGCCCTAACACACAAAATACAATGTCACATGCATGGCCATAAAAAAGTGGAGCTACGTGGCTAGAGAACTATAATTAGGCCTCAATGCGCTACTAAAACTCCCACTGCCATCAACTATAGGTCAGAAGGACAGCCACCTACAGAGCAACACACACTTTTAAAATCCATTGCCAGGGATTTAAACAGAAAAAGCTGCACGCTTGTACACACCTATTCTGTGTAAACAAGTGAGTGTGAGTTAGTGATGAGCGGTCGGTCATTCAGGGTGGTCGTTAACAGACACAAGGGTTTGGTCCAACACGCTGAAACCACACCTCGTAGGACTGCTGAACGTGGTGTTTTATTGTGAGCCAGCAACAAAAGTCATATTAGATGTAGATTTAGGCAAACTTGTATTTCTGCATGTGTGAGTGTAAAACAGTGAAACATTTTCTAAATACCCACATACATGAAAGCATACTGTTTAAGTCATGAATATGGTTTTGTTTTATGTTGAAAGGTAACTGTTCGTGTTTATAATAAATCTAGTTTACTTTTATGGTATGGTATGGTATAAAGTTTATTCATTTTTAAAAGTACAAAACAATTTCATAATAATATAAAAAATAAATAATATAATATACTATAATAATAATATAATATACTTCAAATAAATACACATAAAATGCTATGTATTCATAAATTTGAACTCTAGTGGTTTGTCTCAGCCTGTGAAGATTGATCTTCACTTTTCATTTTATTACTTTATCCTTATAAATGACTGTTTTTTTATGTATTAAACAGGATTTGTCCCAAGAATTTAAAAACAAAAGTTTTCCTTTCGGCTGCTCCTTTCTTCAGGGGTCACCACAGAGAACGAACTCTTACGAAGACTTGGTGATTGTTTTTACACGGGATGCCCTTGGTGATGCTACCACAGCCCTCTGTGTGGAGCAGAGCGCTGCTGGTGGGGGTTAAGGGACTTGCTCAAGGGCCCCAGAGTGGGTCAAATAAGGGTGGAGGCAGGTGTGGGTGCGTCACCTTTCCCACCCACATTTTGATGTTGTCAGTCCAGATGATCAAACCAATGATGTTCCGATCACAGGCTCGCCTTCTCTAACCTCTGCGCCGCCGTAAAAAAAAATAAAAACTTATTTTTTTTACATGTATGCACTTATTAAAATTTACTTGTTGTAAAGTTTCATGTTTTATTTTGAACAGCAAAGACTGCAACGCCATTATGGGTCAGAAAATGATTGAGCATCTATTGCAAACATTTCTGTTTGAAGAGTTCTGTCTTGTTTACTCAAATATAGATCGAAACTGTTTAAGATATGACCAGACAAAAGTTTCATTACCGTCATTGTTTTTGCCTTTCCTGATGCAACCTGGGCTCAAACGTGCAGCCTCAGGATAGACTGAGAAGCAGTGAAACAGACAAACAGCTCAACACTGCTTTGTACCATCAGATGTGCAACACAGAAAATGGGCACTGATTTTTACCTTCTCGTGCCAACGGTCTGGTACAATGTGTCAAAGAGCCCAGTTGGAGAGCATCGCAGCTCAGGCTCAGGGGTGGAAACAGGCCTGGATTGAAGGGATTATAAAGAAATGTTGAACATGCACACCAGAGCAGCCAACAAAGCACAGAGGCTGGCTGCACACTGCAGTGGACAGAGCCTCACCTGTGTGGGTGACAAAGACACTGTCAGCACGTCAGTGTATGTCCATGTCTTGTGGACCAGGGGTCTTCTGTTTCGCATGGATGCTTGTGCACGTCTTATAGCATCCATTTCTCTGTTTGTGTCAAACTTTGACAAAAACATGTAAAGACCAGTCCGTACTGTGGGTTGGAGTGTGTGTGGCCTGAATGTGACCCAGAGGCAGCTCAGCTATTAAAGGAGTATTAGTTGCGAGCTGCTATTGCAGTGCCTGCAGCACAGCTAAATGGCTGCTACTACGGCAGACCACCACACACACAGACACACGCACGTGTGGGAGCAGACGCGTCTTGTAAAAACATTCCCACACGCATGGAGGTGTCCATATCTGAGCAAACAATTTGAATGTGCACACAACTTACATTTATAGACAGTCAGCTGCTCGGGCCTTTGAGCCATGACCAACCTATTCTAATCAGCAAGCCAATATAAAACACCCTAAAGTGTCCGTCCCTGTGCGTCTTACTCCCTGTGAGTATTTATGTTTGGCTTTTTTTGCTGTTTGCTTGTTTCAATGATTTTTTGAGAAAGAGATAACTTTAGTGATACCAAACCTTCTGTGTATATATTTTTGTCCAATCTTTTTTTTTTAAACAAAAGGCAGTTTATGTACCGTACAGCTTGACATCCAGCCATAATTAAGCAGACATGAGATAAAAAAAAAGTGAATGAAAAAATGTCTTGAAGATGTGAAGAAAAGCAATAGCATGAGTTGAACGGAGTTCAGCTGGAGTTGTTTTGAAGCAAGACATAATTTATAGCACCTTGCTGAGAGGTGGGAAAAGGGAATTCCCCCATTGAGAAGCAATACAACATCCCATTTATTCATGAAGACACTTATGGATTATGAACACAATTCCAGAGCCTGCACTGCCATCTAGAGGTGAAACAATTCGTGACAGGAACGTATAGGATGATGGAGCAGTGTGCATCATTCTGTGTGTTTATAACGAATCTGTACTGCCAGGAATGATTATGATCATAGTTAGTGATGTTTGCACTGGGAGGGCACTGGGCACTGTACAAAAACATTCACATACATAAAAAAGAAAGCTAATTAGTAAAAATGATCTATCTAAAGAAGCCAGGAGATTGTATTGAAGCTTCACTTGGTCACAGTCTCCCATCCTGAGCAAGCACAAAGGCAACAGTGGAAAGGAAAAACTCTCTTTACACAGGAAGAAATCTCCTGCAGAACCAGGCTCAGGACGAGCGGCCATCCGACTATGGAGAGTTAGTCGCAGCTTTACTTTAGGTTTATGAATAAAAATATAGTTTAAATGACTAGTAAAGTAAATTATTTGATGTACCGTATTTTCCGGCGTATAAGTCGCACCAGTCCAAAAAAAGCGTCACGAAGAGGGAAAAAACATATATAAGTCGCTTCGACGTATAAGTTGCATTTATTATGCATCACCGCAGACCCATGGCATTTATTATGCGTTTATTTAATGGTCAAAACAGCTTAATTTCAACTGGGCGGCGTGGCGCCATCCATTCATCCATCGCGGCCGGAGCCGCTATCTCTCCAGCGTTCCTCCGCCTGCGCCAGCTGAGTGAAGCGAGCGCGCACGGGAGGACTCGCTGTTGCAGTTCTTAGAAATTTAAAGTGTCAGTCAAAAATTGCGATATGAATATGGAAAAAAAAACGCATATAAGACACTTTGGTGTATAAGTCACAGGACTGACAAATCTGTGCAAAAGCTGCGACTTATACGCCAGAAAATAGGGTAAAAAGATGGTCCTGGGCTCTATGTCTGGATGGGAATGTGCATTCACGAGAACATGAGTTTGTTTCGGACCATGTTTGACATCTCCAAGACTTGCTCCACTGAGTGGTATTACCAGAAAGCATGTGGAGACAAAGTCATATTCATTGGTTTGTGGCGTGCACGTGTATTGAATACAGGCTGAGGTATTGGTTTTAATGAGGCCAGGCTGTTCTTTCTATCAATCAAATAAACACACACACACACAACCACACACACACACGCAGGCTCTCTAAACATGGAGTAACTGACGGGTTCATCATGCCAGGCCACAGTGTCTGGCAAGTGCACTCTTCACACACACACCTTAACAATACCAGCTTTGTTTTAAAAAGGTCATTTTCTGTACTTTAAAGGGGGTTCCCCATGTCTCAGTGTGTATGTCTCTGCGTGTGTGTGTGTGTGTGTTTTCCTTGGACGCTGACTACTAGAGGGCTTTCCCCTACTTGGTTTTTCCAGGAGTCCAAATGACTAAAGAAAGACCAGCAACATGAGACGTCTTTCTCTCCTTTGCTCCCATTACTGAACGCTGTAGTGTGATGTTTTTGTCCGGTGCTGCCATCACCACTTTCGCCAAAACACACACACACACGCGCACAGATGTTCACTCATGCATACACATCTGTTGCACTTAGGTCTATTTGTAAGGACCCTCAGTGGCATAATGCATTCCAAGGCCCATAACTTATCACAACAGAATGTCAAAGCCAAGCTCTGAGTCTAAACCCAGGTCCTAAAATAACTCTTAAATCAAGTTTAATTTGAAGCAGATTTGAAAGTATGAGGACTAAACAAACTCAGCGATATTTTGTTTTCTCCCATGGTTTAAGATCCAAATTGGATTTTGTTTCTAATACTAAAAATGAAATCTTTAAATTTATTCCTAAGGTAAAGCTTCCCAATATATTTAACCTTAGCATAACTCTTCTGGCAAGAAAGTTCAGAGAGAGAAATAAAAAAAAGCAGTGAACCTTGAAGAAAAGGCATTAACATTTGAGATTCTGTTTCAGAAACAGCACACATAAAACCACTACCTGTGACACCCCCGAACGTGCCGTACGTCATGTTGCAAGCTGTTCTTTGGAGATTGTGCTCGTAAACCAACTTCAGCTGGTACTGATCTCCATGATCCACATTCCCTGCAGTGCCTGCGTCCACAAGTCAAAAATAAAAATTAAAAAAAAACTTTTGAAAGATTTATCTAAACACAAATGATGTAAAAAGCAAGGAGTCATCTGTTTATACACAAGTTAGTTTACCTGAAATAGAATAGACTGACAGCTTCCTGGGGTGAAGAACAGCCAAGTGAAGAAGGTCTGAACACCTGAAAAATCAGCAAATTATCATTTCAGCAACAAAATCATCACAGATGCAAACATTTAAAAAATAAGTATGTAAGTAAAAAATATGTTTAATTTAAGGAATAATGAAATGCATCATTATTGTACCAGAACCACAATTTCCTGCATCAATTTAAATGTGATCACTTTAGTGATCCATTTTTCTTATGTATGTTTTTCAGCATCTTTCTCGTTCCACAATTTTTTTCTATTTCAACAAAACAAAACGTTCAGCTCATTCAGGAGAAAGGTGCTATGACTTTTGGTACTGGTGCAACATTAGCTTTTTTGAAATTTTACCTTTTTTGCCATTTTTTCCTCAAAGAAAATTAATTGAGCTCATTTTACATCCTTCAGATGTTTAGATCTGTCTTTTACTGCTCCTTTCACATTTTGTTCTGGTTCAGCTTATTTCATCTTGTGCAAATTAAATCTTTTATTTCAGCTACTTTCAGCAGTTTTGTGCTCCTTTCAGATTCTCTGTGCTATCTACAAAAGTTTTGTGCTTCTAACTTCTTGCTGCTAAATTCAGCTTGTTATGTTCCTTTCATCTTTTTTCTGTTAGTTCTACTCTTTCAGCTATTTAGCTTTTTAGAAGCTAATTTAAGTTTTTTCAGATAATTCCACTTTTTTTTTTACTAATATCAGTTATTACTGCTTCTTTCTGGTAGTTTAAGCTTCTTCAGCTACTTTTCAGCGTTTTTTTGGTTGTTGCTAATTCCAGCTTTTTTTTTTTGGGCCAATTTCCTAATTTTTGTTCTCATTTTTGCTTATTTAAATTTAATTCACCACATATGTTTGAGTTACAACAACAGATAATTTCCCTTTGGGATTAATAAAGTATTTTTGAATTGAATTGAATATGTATTCTTTCTGCTTTCTTCTGCTAATTTGGGCTTGTTCTTCCATTTCAGCTAGATTTCAGATTTTTTTTTTGTGCTAATTTCAGCTGTTTTTCAGCAAGTTCTTTTACAGTAAGCATTCACATTGCATTTTCACAGGAAATGCAATTTCTCTAGTTTTATTTGGGTCAAATCAGTACAAATATGTGAAAATCAGCCCAGATGTTTGAACAGAACCAGCAAGATGTAAACTGGTTAAGAGCTCTCTAACAAAGCACAGACCTACAGGTCTGCACATGGAAAACTTTTCTCCTCAGATATTCCAGAAAGGCTAATGCTTCCTGCCACTGTGGTTGAATCCATGTTCTCAGCCTTAGGGTGGAATCCAAACTTATTTTAACTTGTACTTGGAAAAAAGAATAATTACTGAAACAGCTGTTCCGTTTTGTTTAAAACACTGGAGAGAGTGGTAGATGCTGTTCCAGTGAGGTCGATCAAGGGTTTTTTAAATACATTTACTTCAGCACGAAACCACAAATAAGGACTAAGAAAAATATGACCTAAAAATGTTGAAACCACTTCCATTAACAAAAGAGAAAAAAATAGATCTCACTGTTTTGTGTTTGTTGTAACTGTACTGGTTGGTGTTGAAACAAAACATTTTACCATCTGCCTGGCTTGGACTGCCTTCTACAACATGATTTACAAAATTCTATTCAATTCAAAAATACTTTATTAATCCCAAAGGGAAATTAAGTGTTGTCATAGTTCATCATCCTGGTTTCAAGAGTTGTTAGATGCTGATAACTGTGGGCAGGAAGGATCTCCTGCAGCAAATCCGAAGAATCTGGCCAAAGATAGCGATCCGTCCACCCGGATCCAGCTTGCTGTCAGATCCGGCTGGCCTCTCGGTCCTCCTGGGCAGCAGGACTGCCAGAATGCCAGTCAGAATTCCTCCCTGAGCGGTGATCGCTCCTCCCAGCAGTCTGCCGAGCTCCTCGTCACCATAGACAGACAGCTGAAGGTGTCGGGGGATGATCCCGATACTCCTGTTGTCACGAGCCGAGTTTCCCACCAGCTCCAAGACCTTGGCGGTCAGGTACTCGAGCACCGCCACCAGGTTGACGGGGATTCGTCCATGGCGCCTCTTTTTCAACTGATTTGGAATTTGGGGCTGTAGTTGAGGTATTTGAGCTTTTGAGATGTTAATCAGCTGCTCCTGGTTGTTAAAAAAAAAAACACTTTGTTGCCATGGTTACGCATCATAATAAATGCCAGTAAAAATCCTTCCAGCTGAAGAGCATCCGATACCGAGGAAAAGTGATTTACATTCAGAACAAAGAGGAATTAAAGTTTTTAAAAGCAATAACTCAGAATGAAAGTAACCGAGCTGCTCCAACATGCATCCACTTCAAGCGGCGCAATTCTAGAAATGTCCTTTAGTTTCTGAAGAACGGTGTACCAAAAAACACAGGTAACTAAGTATAATGTGTGCCAAACATGTTGATTTGTTCGGATTGTGTTCTGGTGTTAAAATGCAGAAAATCGTCCATATAAGCCACAGACTTCTCAGAAACCTTGACCTCCAGACAACTCCTGTAGTACTGTAGTAAAACACTGTGATTATTGTAAAAAAAATAAAAAATAAAAAGGCAACGTTCCTGTTACATTTTTAATTCCCTTTATGTTTAATGGATAAATAAACCATCACTGCTCCCAACAAATGCAATAAGTATTAAATACATGCTGATCTCTGCTAAAACACACACTCTGCCTATACTGTATTGTAAATAGTCTCCCATTATGTTCAATACACATTGAGCATTATTATTGATATCGTTTATCTTGTTTCTTTATATATTGTTTTTAACATTTTAGGAACTTTTTGTGTGAATCTTTTCATCTGTTGCTGCTGTTACACTTGAATTTCCCATCCGTGGGACAACAAAGGCTGTTTCTATTTCTATTCTATTCTATATAGTAAATATATTGAAAGTATGGAGCAATTTTACCACAGAAACAAATTAGCAGTTGGTGTTTCTGCCAGTAAATTTAAAGGAATGTCTTTATAGGCTGCTTTAAGAAAGCTCATAAATCTCAGAAAGTTGTGACAAGGATTCAAAGAGAGATCATAAATTCATCACTTAAAAAGAAGCAGACATATGTGAAAGAGCTTAAGTTTCACATTTCAAAACAGAACTACTCTTTGTACTCTGACCACTCAGACAACTTGAAGATTCAATTCCTAAAGACCAAAGTCTCTATCAACAGTGCTGTAATCTCTAAGAACAACCTATGGCCTGCTTGCAAAGCAAAAGCTCCTCAATTGTAAACAGCAACAAAACATCAAAAATTATTATCTTCTTCAAAGATAACTTCGTTGTTAGACGGTTCACACCAAAACGCATCATACAAAATATTAAGGTTAGATTAATCACTAATATTAACAATTAACTAGTTGTAAGAGACAATGAGTTGTTCATAGTGATGTACCAACACAATAAGCTCTGCTGTTTAAAAAATATATATATTTAGTGTTTCAAGTTATTAGATATTACTTTATGAATATCAGCTTCTATTTTAGGTTATTTTATTGGTCTGGTCATTCGGGTTATCAGTCAGAGTATAAAGTTATTATTTACAACTAGTTTTAAACAAACAGAAAGCATTGCACTTGTGAACCAATGTCAAACATGACTTTTTTTAATCATGTTCTCTCATTTAACTGACTCTGATTTAATCAACTGTAAATTGACCCCTGGGTGTATGTTACAAACTAGTATGTTGTTAATCATGAGACAGCTCCGTGTTATTCAGTTAATATAATAACTTTTTTTCAACAGTGTTTTTTAAAGAATATTTAAGTACCCTGCTGCATGCTCAATAATCCAGGTAGGAAAATCCAAAAAAGTTAAGTCAGGTCCTCTGGATGTTTTTGTTTGTTTGTTTGTTTGTTTTTTGAACCCGTCCAGAGGACGTGAATGAACTTTTTTGAACATTTAAGTACAGTAGCAATTCAATGTCTAATATAAATAGAATAAATCTATGTATTATTTTTGACATTTGAAGATTTACACTCAGATTATCACAAAATGGATCATTATAAACTCAAGCTATATACTCGAGCATTGCTGCCAGGTTGACGAGAATTCATCCACGGCACCTCCTTTTCAACTCATTTGTTATTTGGGGCTGTAGTTGAGATATTTTAACTTTTGAGATGTTAATCAGCTGCTCCTGGTTGTTAAAAAAAAAACCACCTTGGTGCCATGGTTACGCATCATAACACATGCCCAAAAGTAACAAGGTTTCAGTAAAAATCCTTCCAGCTGCACAGCATCCGATATCAGAAGAAATAATCACAGGAAAGTGATTTACATCCAGAAAAAGGAGGGATTAAAGTTTTCAAAAGCAATAAATCCAAATGAAAGTAACAGAGCTGCTCCAACATGCAGCCACCCCGAGCGGCACAATTCTAGAACACATTTTTAAGTATTTTTAACACCTGACATGGTTTGAGAGAATGAGAATAGAGTTGGAATAAATACATGAAGGCCTGACTTAAAGCCAGACCTGTGGCAGTGAGGACTTAACCTTAACAATTACTCAAATAAATCTGACGTACTTTCTAACCTTTGGCCCTGGGTTTGTGGCAAATACTTACGAAACAAAGTTGCCCACTTCAACCTGAATGATGGCATTTTGAAGTTGGACTTCCAGGAGCTGGGCATCAGCTGGGCCTCCTTCACTCGATTTATTGGCATGTGGGGAGAAGATCCGCAGCATCCCCATATAGCTGCCCACCACAATCTTGTCTGTAAAATGTCCAAACGCAACAATACTGAAAATGATGCACCCACGAAAAGGGAAAAACTTATTTATTATTTTGATGTTTTCAAGAAACTAATGTCATAACTCTAAGTTTTAGCTGTGAATGTCAAGCTTGTATTTAAAATGTTACCCAGAGTGGCTAATATGAACTATATATATATATATAAGAATATCATGTATGAACTTACAATAGGTCTTTTCGTTTATTAAGTGAATGGTGTGATAACCAGTTTGTCATTACATACTGACCATGTCCTGTGCCACTGTTGTCCACATCTCCAACACATAAGCATCCTTGATCAAACTCCTCGCCCTCCCCAAGAGTTGCTGACCACCAGTCACGTGCTTTAAACAGTGACATGGTGTCTCTAACTGGACAGTATGAAAAACAAGAAAAAAAGTAGATCAAAAAATGTTGCAACTTTACTTTGTGGAGGGAAATGTATATTTTATTTATTTCTTTATTTATTGGTGATTTGCTGTTGTTTGTTTGTTTTTCATAAAAGGTGTAGGTATCAAGTAATGTTGACCAATCGGACATAGACCATGACTACTCTCATCCTTTGAGCCTAATTGCTCTGTGCAGCAGACATGATCGTAGCCAAATACAAATAAGGAGGTCATGTGACCTCAGTACTGAGCATGTGAGTGGGGTAGGTAGGAGCAAGCAGCTTTTCTACTTGTAAGTGCTGAGCAGGTGGAACAGGCAGTTAATCCAGACAAGCAGAATCCCTCCTATCTTCAGTGCACTGGCCTACACACCTGAGTGGGTGTTAAAGTAAATTACCTGAAAATATAAATATCTTTTATTTTTGGCAATAATCAAAATGTTTGTCCAAGCACCAACTTGACAAAAACACATTCATTGCCGGAGTAAGGACAGTAAGTTCAGAATAGGAGTCAGAAGTTGAGTGCACTAAGTCATTTAGAGAAAATATTGCAATGTCATAATAAAAGTCTTAAGTAACAAAAAAAAATGGTTAGTTGTTTCCCAAACGTAAGCTACTATGAACATTGTGACAATATTCAAGTGGGATATCTGGGACAAATTAAATATAAGATGAGTGGTGCCAAATATTTGTATATTTGTTGACACTCGACTCCATTAGTGCATTTAAACCACAAGCATCAGACACACAGCATCGCACACCTGAGGATTTATCTATACATTCACAGGATTTATGTTTAAAACCACCCTCCTTCTGCAAGTCAAAACAGTGAAAACTGTCGTATTCATTCGGGGTCCGCTTTAATTCTCTGTTGAGTCGAACAGACTGCACAGGAAACTACAAAGCACAAAGCTCAAGCTGGCTCATTTAACTTTAGCTTAGCCGCGGCTAATTAGCTGCCTCTCCAAGTTGCCTCGGCGCTAGCTAACACTAACAGGTCAGCCGAAAGTCTGGCTACTACCGCCAACTTTTCCTGATGAAGACAAAAGCGCTTTACATTTTTCTCACCACATAAACGTGGCTCCTCGTTCCTCTGCTCCTCGTTCACACAGACATGAACAATTTCACCCTCGCGCTTGCAGCCATCGTCTTGTTGTCATGGCACCGACGCTCAACGGAGAAGCTGCGCTAGTGCGCAGGAGCGGAAGTGAACATGAAAAAACGAGTTTGCCTTCAGTCATATTAGTTTTATTACATTTTTTTTAATAGTAAAACCATGATATTCGTTAATGATAATATTTAATTGATTTCCAAGCCCTAATTAATTTAAAATACTTTTCTTGTCATAAAAATAATAAAATAGGAAAGTAACAATAAAACACAAAAGCATTGTACAGCCCCATTTAAATCATCATCATCATCTCAGTGTTACTTTCTTCTCAAGAGTTTAGTACCGGGAGAATTTATTTTTAATGGCAAAGGATACCAGGGTCATCAGAGGCTCTAGCCTTCTTTGTTGGACTTATCTCGGGCCTTTGATGAGGTCAACAGATCTTTAAACTTTTTCCCTGCTCAGCCACCGTCATATTTTCCTTTCTCCATCTCCAGTTCCGGTCGTGGTGGCATGATATCACTCAGGTCTTTTGCATCTGCAATGGGGCTCCCCTGGAGTAGACTTTCATTTGTCACTTTCCTCGTTGGGCCTCATTTCTGTGAGGCAGTATCTGCCGAGACTTCTCCTTGCAGTTAAAAACTAACAGCTGGTGTTCATGACTTTTCCAAGAAGGAGACGGATGTGGAAATGTTCCCCCCTGCTCCATGAAGGTTCTTGTTCTCAGGGCAGAGGGGAAGATCGTTATCAGCCATAATAATAAAATTATCCACAACATTTGATCAAAAATTCACTGACGTATCAAATTATGTTTATAGGTGTATGGCTTAAAATACTTTAATATTTATGTCATGTTTGACTTTTTTTTTTTTTTAGGCTGCTCCCTTCTTCTGGAGTCGCCACAGCGAACTAGGTCACACAAATACTTGGCAATTGTTTTTATGCCAGACGCCCTGACGCAACCACAGACCACCGAGCTACCACAGGAGCAAAGAGTTGATATCTAGGGCGCCCAGGGGAGCAGATGGTGGGGGTTAAGGGCCTTGCTTAGGGGGCCAGAGTGGGGCAAATGAAGGTGGAGACAGGCGTGGGTGCTTCATCTATCCCACTCACACTTTGATGTCGGTACCGGGAGTTGAACCAGCGACCTTCTAATCACAGGCCCACTTTCTCTACCGTCTGCACCACCACTCCCTAATGTTTGTGATTACAATCTGAAAATAACATACCAAGTCTCTTTTTTTCCACAATATGTTCATCATCACATTCACAGATGTAGAACAAACTTCTGTTGCAAAACATTTGGTCAAACATCTTTTAAAATCAAATTTCTGTCTTCGGCAACAAATTCATATTTTGTTGCAAATTATTTTGTCACATGGCATCACCTATGCAGCTAAAGCTTGGCACCACGTGAGCCGTTTCGTCCATTTGTGTTTTATTTGAAACTGCTGTACTCATGTTGGGTTGCAAATAATTTATATTAAATAAATTGTAAGTAATCATTTTGGGTACATTTCCTCAAGCACAACATATCCAGATTAACTGAACGAAAGCTTATTCTAGGGTTATTTTGAAAAACTATCTTACTGCTTCTGCTATGCTTACTGCTTACATAATTCTACCTAAAATTCAATAGTGCATCTTACTGAGAGTATCAACACAAATAGCCTGATAAAATCATCAATATTTAAAAGACACGTTTTTTTTTTTATCAATGCACATTTAAATACGTTTTAAAAAAAAAAAACTAGACTTTGGGGGTGTCAGTCCAGTTTGTGACGCGCTAACGGCTTCACAAATCTACTTTTATTGCATGTCGTCTTCACACCATCAAATAAAGCCATATGATTATAAAAATAAAACATACCCATCAAAACTTCTGAAAATACTTCAAATGCATTAAAGCAAAATACATTTTTATATAACTCCATATACAGTATGACATTATTCCCAGTTTTTTTTTTTTTTTTTTTTTTACATATAGATTGTTAATCTCCCATTTCTCACACGAACTACAAAAAGAAAAGGCAACATGCAGGTGATAGCAGCACAAATAAAACACAAACAAATTAAGAAAAAAAAGCCAAAACACGTGGTGACACACTGACGCATAACTTTGAAAGTCCTGAAAAATAAAATAAAATTAGAAGTAGTGCTGAAAAACACATTTTAATACTTATGCTGGGTTTTACTGACAACAGTGTGTTTACCTCAGTTTATTGAAACTGTAAAATACTTCATATATTATAGATTCCTTATTTACAAGATGGACCTGAAGGCATCACTTTATTTTTACTGTTGTAATTTCTCAAAACGACCACTAGATGGCAACTTCAGCATTAACACTTCAATACCAGTTTTTGGGATGTTTGTGTAATTATGCAGAGATTATAATAAATTAAAAGTGATATTTACTATAAATGTTCTCCTTTGTGGAGAAAAGATATCAATGAGCACATTAACATTAAAAATAAAATTTTGTAAACATGGCTTTTTTGTGCAAGAAACTTATTTTTAAACCCAAACTAAGAGCCAGAGCCACACATGCTCATGCAAACAAAATATACTTTTCTGATAATAAAGAATTTAAAGTGCATTTTTGTTGTTTATTTGTGATGTTTAACAACCTAAATCTTGGTTTGTTTCTTTTACTTGTTCTGTTGTAATTACATTGTCACTGACACTGAACAAGACATTCAAACTTTCTATAGGTACCTCTTTTAAAAAGGTCCTTTATGTGACGTAATTGCTCACGCATTACAAACTTTTATGTAAACTGAGTCAAATAATTTTAACTTACTTTAAAACACTAACCAGGTAGATATCAGTTACTCAAGTAGCTAAATTAAACTGAGTTGGCTGGCATGCTGGGATAGTGCCAAAAAACAGCGTTCCCTTGTAGGCACCTGGTTGTGTATAAATATTGTAATATCAAAAATATTTTAAAAAAAAAATTTTTGATAACAACAATAATGTGCAAATTATAAAAATGGAGTGAAAGCTTGCTAGTTTTTTTCATAACTTTAAAAAAAAATTATAGAAACACCAGGGACAAGATGTTGCAGCTGTTAAGGACCTTAAAAACAGTTCATTCAGGAGATGTAAAATGTGTCTTTAAAAAGGCCGGTACACAGTGGTGCTGAGTGGAACCAGGAACTCAGGGCAGAGAAATCAAGAAAAATGCTGGTAACAGAGTTCGACTGGCCCGACGCTGAAGGGAGACGATGACAGGAGAGAGCTGGGACCGAATGGGATGTTGGTGTGGGCGTGAACTGAAGCGTGGAGTTATAAAACCTTCTGAAGAATGGAATTGGGCACTTCCAGAGTCTCGTCTTTCACAAGAACAATGTCGTAAGAGTCCATATATTTATCCAGACGTTCTTCAACCTGCAGAGATCACAAATTAGTTTAGGGACAGGAACTGAAGCGCATTGATTTTTGACTGAGACGTGTCTTTGAACGCCCACGTTAGATGTACAGTAGTCCCTTGCTACTACGCAGTTCGTTTTTCGCAGACTCGCTCTATTGCGGTTTTTCAAAATAAGATTGGACATGACACACAATTGGCTGATTGATGGATGAGCTGCAGATGGGCATGGAATTTTTATTTTAAATAAATTAATTTAAATTATTTAGCGCCAGCCCACCCACACTGCAGGATAAACTTCCTCCTGCAGCTGATCAGCTGTTCTATGTGCAGGGGGGGAAAGTGGGCGTGGCCAAGAACACTTGCAGGTGGCTGAGAGAGGGAAATCATGACATTCTGTGGTATTTTAGAGTGTTTCGAGTTTAGATACATTGTTTAGAATATTGCAAGAATGTAGGAAGGGTTTAACACACCTTAAAAAAAATTATATATATATATATATATATATATACATATATATATATATGTGTGTGTAAATAAGATTAAAAATTGAAGGTGCATTGTGACCTTATAACACCTGACAGTGTCGATTATAAATCAAAATCAGTATCGGACAAAATCGGAATCGGCAGGTCAAACTTTTTAGAAATCGGTGATCGGCCAGAAAACTGCAATCGGTGCACCCCT